TCTTTTGCAGGATAAACATGCTCAGCTCTTCAGGCCACTCCTCATAGGGCTTGTTCTCCAGACCCTTGATCATTTTAGTCGCCCTCTCTGGACACATTCCAGTTTGTCAACATCTCCCTTAAATTGTGATGCCCAGAATTGGACACAGTATTCTAGGTGTGGTCTGACCAAGGCAGAATAGAGGGGTAGTATGACTTCCTTGGATCTAGATACTATACTCTTATTTATGCATTGTGCAAATCTCATTGGCTTTTTTACTGTAGTTGCATCCTTTAGAATTTTGTCAGTTGTAGCCAAGTGGGGCACTAGAACCCAGTGTGGGAATTCACAGAATCTTGGGATGCTACAGAATGCTGCCATGAATGTTAAAGTGAAACTATACACTGTGAATCATATAAGTGGAATCCTTGTGCTATATGGTGGAAAAAAACAATGAGACTATTTTAATTGCATTTATATGATCTTGTTTTCATCAGTTAAATTGTTTAACGTGTTCAACAGGGTTAAAATAATTTTATTGTTTTTATTGTCTACCACCCAGTGATCATATGATACAGGGGAGTTTTGAGATGTACTGGGGTTTGAGTTTAGAATCCCTTAAGATCATCTGGGGAGGCCCTGCTCTCGATCCCGCCTTCTTCACAGGCACTTTTGACAGGACCTTCTCAGTGGTGGCCCCTCGGCTGTGGAACTCCATCCCCAGGGATATTAGATCGGCCCCCTTCCTCCTGACCTTCTGGAAAAAAGTAAAGACCTGGCTCTTCGAACAAGCTATGGAAGAGTGAATATGGAATGGCTTAGATGATGCTAATGGAAAATTAGTTTAACTGGAAGACATTGGTGATTAGATGTTTTTAATGCTTTTTATATGGATTTTATATGGGTTTTTATTATGTTATGTTAAATGTTTTAATGTTATCTATGACTGTTGTGGCATCGAATTGCTGCCAAATTGTAAGCCACCTTGAGTTGCCTTTGGGCTGAGAAAGGTTGGAAAGAAATACTGTAAATAAATAAATAAACAAATAAAAATCCATGTATGCTCAAATTCCATTACATACAATCGTGTAGCAAAATGATATCCCTTATATCAAATGACAGACTCAAGGTTTTTTTTTCTGGAATTTTTGGTTTGTGTGTGAAAATCATGGATATAGAATTCAAAAATACAGAGAGCTGACTTGTATAAAATAGGATGCACACAAATTGTGAATATATGAAGGAAAAAAATGTACATTTGTTATCTGAGCTAACAGAAAGGCCCTTTTCAGGATTCTTCAAACACAAGTCCACATCAGCATTCTCTGTATTGCTTCAAATGTTGGAATGCCAATGAATGACACCACATCTAGATAAGGCTTGTGTCTGTCCATCTCAGGAAATAGGAGGAGGTAGGTGCTAATCAGATGCCCTTTAACCTCGCCCACACCAAATCCAGTCTAGGCAGATATTTTCCCTGCTGGCCAAGGGTTAGAAGGCAATTTCTCATTTGCTTGAAGTGTTTACTTTGATTATCTGCTTTTACAATGGGCCAGCAGTTTAGTCTTGCTGCCAAAGGTTGCTGTAACAAAATCTAGCATGTCTGCTTTGCATCTATCCTGTTCATTTCCCCTTTCAAAAGCTATATTCCCTACATTTAATTCAATTCAGCAAACTGCTGTTGAGACTGTTATGTGGCCCAGCAAACCTTTCCAAATGGTAAGCTTAAAGCAATGGCAAAGCATACTAGGAGTTGCATTCCAACATTATCTGGAGCTTGCTATGATTCCCACTCCTCTGCAACATCACAGGCATGCAAGTCTCCCTCAAACAGTCAATATTTATCTTCCCAAATGTGATAATTATGCCATCTAGTGGCACAGCATAAGAATGATAGTTTGCATATTGAGGAAGTGAGATTGATGGCATAGGTTTGCTACATGACTTTGTCTAATTTACATTCATCCAATTTTATGGGAAAATGTGGTAAAATGTTCTGCTCCTCTTAATCGCAGCACAAGAGCTAAGCAACACTGGTTGGTACAATGGGGCTGGCTGGTATCCTGTGATTCCTGATGACTCTTGGTCATTTGAGACCAAAGTATGTATAGGTGGAGCAACCAGTAATGTAGAATTAAAATAAGTAAATGTAACATGAATGGAGTGAAATTAAGGAAGGGCACTGCACAGTGGAGTTGGGATGTAGTCCTCAAGAAGGTAGAGTCTTGCTTGCTTAATGTAGGAATGAGAACCATGCAGGCTCCCTGTAGTTCAGCAACCCTTGCATTTTTTATTCCTATTGGGTTGGATCCAGAATTAGTCTCGCGTAATGTGTATGAACTGAAATCAATGGAACTTAAACTAAACCAAATTGAAATGATGGTGAGAGCATTACCCAAAGGTGGACAGAGAGGTTTTAAACTTTTTTATGCTGATTCCACAGGGTAACCCCCACCCCCCCCAAACTCCTAACTGCTTACCATGGTTGCTTATTAGAGGCAGAAGTGAAAATGTCCAGGAACTTATATTTGTACTTATTGGGAAGCATTCTGTTACAAATGTATGTGTATTAAGTGTGGCTTATACATCCGCATGCCTCTTCTTGAATGAAGTATGGGGACCTTACTTGATCTTGAAAACTAATTGTGGTTAGTCCTAGTTAATACTTGGATGGAAGAGACCAAGTTATTTCAGAGACTGAAGGCTCTATTTCAGAGGAAAGAACTGGAAAAACCACTTTTTGAGTATCCCTTGCCTAAGAAAACCCTATGAAATTCACGGTCACCATAAGCTGATAGGTGACTTGAAGGGACACACATACACACACATACTCACATAATACATTTAGCCAGAAAAGGATAACCACTGATCACATTCATATCATGACACAAGGACACATTATCTATATTACATTGTACATATTTAACTGCAGTAGTGTATCACTATTGGAAAAGGTATATTGATATCCAATATATACCTGACATAAAATCAATATATCCACTATATCTGTCAGATGACTTGAAGGCACGTGTGCACGCACATACACATACACACTAATCTCGAGTCTTTTATACTCCCTCAAAGCTTTCCTTCAGCAACTTTAAGGCCCTAACTGGTGGCCCTTTCACATAGTCCTATATCCCAGACTATCAAGGCAGAAAAACCCACATTATCTGAGTATTGACTCAGTTAACCCAGTTCAAAGCACATATTGTGGGATTTTCTACCTTGATATTCTGTGATATAGAGTTGTGTGGAAGGGCCCAGGGGATCCTGCTCCTTATTTCTGCAAAGGAGTGGGGGGGGGGGGGGGGGGGTAGGGTACACTCCCCCCCTTTTTTTTCCTTCTCTTTTCGGTATTACCCCACTTCATTCTTTTCTCTGTTTCATTTCACTTCTTTTTTCTTTCGGGAATCGCACTTAACCCTCTTTTATTGGTGTAAAGTATAAAACTAATAAAAATTATTTTAAAAAAAAGGAGTGGGAGAAGATGATGTGACTGTTTAGGAGAAATAAGAGGGTGTATCTCATATGTGAGTGTGCCCTCATGTCTCCTTCTATATTGATTTATTATTGGAAGAACCCTGATAAACATCAGAAGAGTTCAAGAGGCCACTTTGAAGAAATTACTAATCCTGAGCCATCTGCATTCGACAATCTGGCAGCAACATGAAAGGAAGCCCTTTCATGCATCCATTAAGGGGCCTTTGCAGGTAATGTTATGGTCAAGAGGGCCTCTGCTGAATAGTTTAACATCTAGATAGGTTCATAGCAAGGCAGGGTAGTCCCTAAGAAAAATCAGACACTAACCTGACCAGCTAAGCATTCCACCTTAGGATAATGAGGCTCCATCTTGTAGTGGTAATTAGCAGACACCACAGATCTTTCCACACTGAGATAATATCCCTATAATGCGCACCATTATGAGCACAACTGTGGGTGCAGATTGAGAAAAAATATTGTGTGATCAACTCAGGTCTTGCAATTTTGCCCAATTTCTCTGATGTGCCATACAACGTTGGGTGTTCTGCTCACCACCTTAATTCTTCCAGAGCACAGAAGTGTTAGCTACAATGCTCACATATCACTTAGTTCTCGGTGATGTGATAAAACATCAGCAGGACAGCCCCTTGCCTATTGAGAGTGTTAACCCACTGCATTTAATTTGGAGTCCTGCTTAAAGAGAAAGGCAAATTATTAACTAACTAAATTCAATTTATTTCCAGGTATGGACCCATGATGGTCTAAATTTTCTAAAGGCATCAGACCTTGTCTATTTTGGAAGCTAAACAGTGTCAGTCCTGACTCATGCTTGGGTGGACAACTGTCAACAAATACCAGGCACTATAGACCTTATTTCAGAGGAAGAAATTGGTAAAACCAATACTCCTGGCCTAAGAAAACCCTATGAAATTAGTGGCAAAGCCACAATTCCTCAGGAGACTTAATAAAAGTACATGCATGGATCTGGATGCTTGCCCAAGATTAAGCACCACCGAACAACTGAGATTTATATGATAAAGTCAATGATTAGGCAATTGACTCTTCCCAAGCTATTCATGTAATTGCACTCTTCATATAGGATATCTCCCAACACTGACATTTTCTCACTGATAGCCTTATCACATTCCTGAGAACTAGACCTGTTTCTCAACTCTGATCAATAATTAACTCAATGTCCAATTTAGTTCATTGCCTGTTGAGCACTTTTTCTCTTCTCTGAACAAAATTGAAAGGCTACCTGAAAATGATGAAACTGCCAAGAATACAAACCTAACCCATTTTGCTGTTTGTGTACCTTCAAATTTTCTGATTTATAGCAACCTTAATGTACTCGCTACTAAATCTGATTGAATGGGGCTAAATTCTGAATTAACTCTTGCTGCAAGTTTCTTCATGCAGTTTTCAAATCCAGTTTGTTAACAATTAACCTTTAGGGAACCATGCCAGCAAATTCAAATACCAGTTCTGTTTCAATTCGCTAGTTAACATAGGCTTTTTAGACAAATGAAACAATGCAATGACAAAATGTATGTATTTATTTGAAATTCCATTAAAAAAAATGACAGCACAATGGTCCCACCTCTCAAACATGAAATCAGTGCATAATCTAGTTACATAAAATATCAGAGGCGAGAAAGCAAAAGGCTCAGAAATCCATATCACCTCATGAAAGTAAGCTGATTATTAACTCTATTATGATGGGAAGGACAATAGGAATCACACATACATCCTTAGTAGACTACTAAAGAAGTTTTACTCTACATATAGCATTGCAATATAAACATAAAACTTCTCACAGATTTTGCATATTTAAAAAGAGGGGAACTTAAAATAAGTACAGTGACTGACTTTGTTTTAAAAAGTTCCTTAAATTTATTTTTGTCTCCCCAAGCTAAAATATACGGCATTTACAATGATATGCACTGCTTATCGAATAGGCACATTGAATACATAGTGATAGGGGGAAAGGGACTAGTGCAACAGTCAGTTGTACTTATTGCTTTCAGTCAAAGGCACTTGCAATAGGTATGATACAAACAATAAAAATATCAAATATGATACATGGGTAACTACCAGTTTCATAGCTGAGAGGAATCAGAATTGGAACTCTGGTCAGTGTGCGTTCTCCAAATGGATCCAAAAGGAATGGAATAACCCTTCTGGGTAGCTGAGTGTCCTGAAAATATTTCTTGTGCCTGTATGATCCAATTAATTTTGCAGTTATGGATTTCTATCTTGTAACTCCAGTTTTTCTAATTATAGCTGAGCTCAACAGCACTATTCTGTGCATACTTACTCAAAACAGTGAGCATCAATGAGTGTGGAACTGACAGTTGCTGGGTTAATTGTGAATGTACATTTGTGTATGTAAGTGAAGAGAGCGGCCACAATAAAACAACGAGGGAAGAGAATACAGCATCCAGGAAAATCCCCAAAAGTGAAGGGATAGGCGGCAATAAAAGAACAAGGGAAGATAATATAGCATCCAAAAAATTAGCTGAATTATAGCTCTGTACACTGCAACAATTTGCTGCACTTTGCTTTTCTAATGCTTTATTGCTGTCCCATAAAAGCCCCTTGAAAGAATGTGATAGCCTCTTCTGATACAGTTCCAAAAATATTAGCATGCATAAACCATATGAAACAAGATCACACTAAATTGTCTTATTCACACCACTTTTTTTAACATTATTATTATTATTATTATTATTATTATTATTATTATTATTATTATTATTATTCTTTTAAGTATGTGAAAATTCTGCCAAGCAACTTAGTTTCTAAAAACCTTAAGACTGAAACAAGACAGCCATTATATTGGAGAATCTGACATCATACAGTTCTAGTGACAAAACCAGTGGCTAGGATCCTATAGTGGGAGACAGGAGACAAAGTTCCACATAGGCAGAACTTTGTGGTGTCCCTCAGAACTATGTCCTCACATATTGTTATGTGAGGGAGGCCATGAATTCCTCCCTCTACAACTGAAAAAAAGAGACATACAATGGGGTATTTCACACATACGATGCAAGACTGTATTGCAAATCAAATGCCATAATCTTGAACATACTTATTAGAGAGTCAGACTGATAGAGTGCAGTGTAAATTACGTCTGAATAAGGATATTTTGGATGGTACTCTTAGAAAAAATAATTTCGAGATCCATAGAATGAATCTAAGTAATTATAAATATTAAAATAAGTGACATTGGGTTCCAATGATGAACACACTTAAGGGGAAATAAATTCAACAAACACACTGCAATCTAATTCTGAAGTACCATGTGCAGGGTGGCCTAGAAGGTTAATGAAAATAGCTATTTAAAGCCTGCTGCACAACAAACTAAATCAATTTGATTTTAATTGGAATGCAACTGAAAGCTTAGTTAAGTACAAGCTATGATAGCCAAGACACCCAAACTTTTTTTTATTAGTAGCAATCTTTCCAGATCCATAGTTTTCAGTAGCCACATGCAGTATGCTTTTCTCAAAGAAATTTAACTAAGAAATAAATACCATTTTTTTTATTATGTTTGCTCTCTGGTAAAGGTGTTTAGGGTTGCATACTTTATTCTGATACATTCTTTTGATTGTGATGGAGTTGTAGCTAACACCAAGCACTGTGATGAAAGGTAAGTAACTTATTCAACTTTGAGAAAGGCACCTATTAACCCCAAAATGTTAAATGTAAACTAAAAAAAACAAGGGTTAAATATATCCCATCTACGAGCGCGAATACTGCACAGAACTGTATTTTGTTACTGTTGAGGACTTACTCAAGGTAGAGCCAGAGGATAGTAGCTCCTGAGCATTGGTTTGGAAAGGGTCTGAGATGAAAACATGTTCCTGCCTCTCAGTGTCAGCATAGGCATCTGCTGTGCTCTGCCTAAGAGTACCAGGTGTCAGCACAGACTCAGTTACAACCACATTCTGCCCTTCTGATAAACTGCTTAATGGAGTCTTTAGATCTGTGCTCGGTACAAGGACCCTTTCCCTTTCACTTACAACAACATATTTTGAATCCGGGAGATCTGGGAAGGCTCCAACAGACGTGTTTAACACAGTCTGCAAATTAGAAGCTGGAGCAAGTACTCTCTCTGTTACAACCACATTCTCCGTAAACTGAGGGTCAAGGATTACCACTGGGGGTCGGGCCCCATAAGAGGTTTCTGTCACAACAAAATTGCTGCTATTAACTAAGGGGTCAAGTGTGGGCCTAACTTGCTGCAGGCCAGATGTAAATTTAGTCTCAGTAACTGTTTCCTCTGATCTAGCTGCTGAACCAAAATGGTCTGCGGATCTGGGTAGCTGGTAGCTAGGTCCTGAAGTATAGGTCTGTTCTGAACTCAAAGCATTTTGTTGGTGCATGTATTGTACATCTGACTCATTCACTGCAAGAATAGGACTTGCAGCTTTTGACATTTGGAAAGTGACCTGTCCAGCTCCCATGCCTACATGTTTGCCCATACAGATATCGGCCAGAGTCTTAAATTTGTCTCCCAAGTCATCCAAGAAATGGTCGTCAAAGTCATCCTCAATAAAGCTGCAGCAACCAACCGAGCCACGGATGGATTCTTTTTCTTCATCCTGAGAGTAAACTAGCAGGCAGTCTTTGGCAAGCTGTGCTTCATCCTCATCAGCAAAAGCTTCAGCTTTCTAAAAATGTGGAAGAACAAGAATTGTGAGTGTTCAAAGCTGTAATTTCTTTTAAGACGAACTCTAGTATTTCATAAAACCCTTTAAACTACAATGATGTTCACATTAACCTCATAGGCCAGCGATTCTCAGCCTGTAGGTCCCCAGATGTTTTGGCTTTCAACTCCCAGAAATCCTAACAGCTGGTAAACGGGCTGAGATTTCTGGGAATTTTTGGCCAAAATACCTGGGAACCCACAGGTTGAGAACTACTGTCATAGGCTTCAATGCAGAGTGATAGTAGAATATTCCTTTGTCTTGTAGGCTGTCAACCAGAAGAAATCATGCAGCCCTTCCAGCTGTTTTTGTATTGCAACTTCCAACTTTAATCAACACCTTTTGAAGGACTAACCCCAACACTTTTTGAAGGACTAAGATTTACAGATGTTTATCCCTCCTATAAACTATGGACCACAACATTGAACTTTGGCAGCAGAATACCTTTTGCTTGGTCCTTTTTTTGGTTCTGCCAAATAGCCTTTTTAAACAAATCAGCAACACTCCTGATACATTGTCAGTTTCACTTCCATTTTATAATTACTTCAAACACAGTGGTTCTTAACCTTTGGTCATTCAGGTGTTTTTCGGGGCTTCAGCTGCCACAGTTTCTAACAGCTTGTAAACTGGCTGGAATTTCTGGGAGTTGAAGTCCAAAACATTTGAACGACCAAAAGTTGAGAACCACTGCTTCAAACTCAGTTTTAAAATATGACACTAACTTAGAATTGGTATATGCTACTATTTAAACTATTATTTATACATGCTTCCAGGTAAATGCTCCAATGTGTATGTAATGGTTGTGGATGTTGGATGTTGAAGAAAGCTGACAGAAAAAAACCAAAACAATTCAGTTGAAAAGTAGAGCTGGAGGTCAATTCTGTGGACCTAGCAGACAGTGACAGAGCCAAATAAATTGGTTCAAGAACAAATGAACCCTACATTCTCAATAGAGGCAAAATGACAAAACTGAGGCTACTGCATTGTAGGCACATCATGAAATGAAATGATTCACTGAAAAAGATAATAATGCTAGGAAAAGTGGAAGGCAGTAAGTAAAAAGGGAGACTATGCTACAGGTGGATTCACTCAATCAAGGAAGACACTGCCTGAGGAGGGCAGTTCATGACTGCAGCTATGTGAGGTCTTTCACTCACAGAGGGTCATAACACATTGAAGTCAACTTGAAAGAAAACTATTAGTCGACAGATGAAAAGAAAGTGTATTATACCCTATGTGGAGGAGCAAGGAGATTGCTTTTCAGTGAGGAATGTTAAGGTTAGTGGGAGGAGGAAAGAAATAATGCATGTTATGAATTTATTTATTGTTTATTGTATTTATGCACCACCTTTCTCACCCCTGGGGGGACTCAAGGCCATTTACAGCATAATATTTGTGATCTTATAATGGGAAGAGGGTAATTCATTATTTGTACTATCTTTTTTAAAGTTAAGACTTCTTCTGATGTGTAAAGTGACAACAGAAGTGGGAAAGTAACTCCCATACTCACAGTGCAGCTAGTCTAATTAGAAATTAATAACAATTAGAGTTAAACTCCAGTAAAACCTAGGGCCCTTCCACATACCTCTATACTCCAGAATATCAAGGCAGAAAATACCACATTATCTGAGTGTGGACTTAGGGCCCTTCCACACAGAGCTATATCCCAGAATTTCAAGGCAGAAAATCCCACAATATCTGCTTTGAGCTGGGTTATTTGAGTCCACATTGCCATATATCCCAGTTCAAAGCAGAAAATGTGGGATTTCCTTCCTTGCTATTCTGGGATGTAGGGCTGTGTGGAAAGGCCCCTACAGGATCCCAAATTGCCCTCCTCCCCCATATAGAAGAAATATGACAAAACAGTGAGAGTGAGGAGGAGATTTATCTTCATTTGCCTAAGGTAGTAGTTCCCACCCTTTAGTTCTCCAGGGGCCCTTCCACACAGCTCTATATCCCAGAATATCAAGGCTGAAAATCCCACAATATCACCTTTGAACTGAATTATCTGAGTCCACACTCAGATAATGTAGGATTTTATCAGCCATCTAACCAGCTGTTAGGAATTGTGGGAGCTGAAATTCAAAACACCTGGAAGAGCAAAGGTTGGGAACCACTGGCCTAAGGAAACTGAAATTATTAGATGCAGCATTTGGAAATTACTAGGTGTAGAAAAAGTCATATGATGAAAGGATAGGCCCATGCCTGAGAGCCAAATGAAGGATCCCTGTTCCAAGGAACTACCGCTCTCATTAACAACGTCTGTCTACAAAGGACAAGGACAGCTATCACTTCCAATGACTTTTGTAGTCTCCCAGAAATACCTTGCTTGCCACTGTGGGAAATAAAATCTCAGAACAGGAAGACGTGGATCTCATCCAGCAAGATAGTCATGAGTTTTTTCCCTACATAATTAAAAAGATCTAAGCCAAAGCGCTTTTGTTAGTTTTTTTTCTCCTTTTAATTTTTTTAAATTTGATGATTAATGACAAAGAAAAATCAATCATTTTCCAAACTGGGAGTAATCTGTTCAGTTTCAGAAAGGGAAACTTTTACCCCCTGTTCAATTTCCTTTTACACTGTGTCCAGTTGAAGAACTTTAGTGTGGGCACTTAGCTGTGGGAATATTCTCAACAAGTCACCATTTCCCCCCATTATATCCCACTTCAAATGACACTGAAACCTAACATAGCATCAATTCCTCTGCATTGCTGTTGCATCAGGATGCATCATCACCTGAAATTAGGTATGATGGGAAACATGGTAGACCATTGACTTGCTATGCAGAGATGCCATGTTTAGTTGCAGCCAGAATACATTTTAAAAAGTGAAACGGGAGAAGGGATTCACGTATGTTACTGTATATGCTGGTAAGATTCCTGCTCTCTGAATATACATAGAATAGCTCCCATTCTCTTAGAAAATCAGTACAAAAAGTCCACTATTTTTAAGGGCATGGGAGTGGCATCTTGGGCTTTACTCCAGATCTAGGAGTGAGATGGCACTCAACCCTAATAAAAAGAAGAAAATGAATCCTTACATAAAGAAGAGTAGATGAATACAAACTCCTTGCACAAGAAAATAAAAAAACATATGAACCAGGATAGTATATTTCCCAAAGAAGGCAAGCTCTTACCTCACTGAAGTAACTCCTCAAGAAGTCCTCATTCACCATGCTTCCACCACTTTCCATGGCAAAAGTTCTTCCAGCACCAAGAGTCATGGTTCCTCCTGCTGCCAAACTTCCTGCAGCTGCTGTGCCCGATCCTCCTCCAAATATCATGCCTCTATAGTCTTCCCCAGAAAGAAGAGCTGTTTGCTCTTCCCTGCTGAAGTACTTCTCTCTAAACACAGAAGAAGAACCACCGCCTCCTCCTGCAGCAGCAGCTGCTGCCCCTGCTGCCCCAACACTCGCCCCTGCTGCTCCAACACCCGTTGCTGTTAATGCCCCATGTGAGGCTGAACTGTCCACAGCTGAGGAAGAAATGAGGTTGGGAATTGCCTAAGATCAAAGGAAACAATTAAACCTGTAAAAGCTGGAATCATCAAAATGCACACACATAACAAACCAGACTGGTTGGCCAGGAAGCAAATCTGATTTGGCACCACACCATGAAGTCATATTGCCAAAAGAATCAGTTCCTCTTGCTCCTCCCAAGTTCCCTTGAAAATAAAAAGACCTAGAATCTAGAAGCTTTCCAAGTCATCTTCAAGGAATCTTTGTGGGTAAGGGGACCTGTCATGCTAATGTTCCTTCTTGCATACTTAAAATTACAGCTGCTCTAGAGAAATTAGTGTGATTATATCTTCCTCCAATCTACACCTACCTATGGCCACCTGGAGTGAAAAATGCAATTCTATTTGTCTGTATTTCGAAGTAGGTCCCACCACCACCATCACCTGCCTCTCCTCATAGTTCAAAGGCCACAGTTAACACAATTAAAACATCCAGATAAAACACAACAGCATAAAATACATATATTTAATACAGTATTAATAGAATTAATTGTATGAATAGAACGCAAATTTAAAATCCATAGTTGAAAATTGACTGCGTAGGCCTGCTGGGGAAGCCAAAGTCTTAAGTTATACTGATTTATCATGTTTAGATTTGTAAGCCTAGTCATTTCACACTCCTCTTGATCAGTGAAATGTTTGCAAAACAATATTATCCCCTCTAATTTGAATTCAGTCTCTCCCTCTTTCTCATTTTGCAAATTAATTAGATTTAAGCTGAGAGATATTAGACAAAAGCAGCTGTGTTATTTCTAGCCATGCAATTAGATACCTGTCTCCTCAGAAGTACATCTCATTGAAATTAATGAGGGATTGCTCCTGAATAAAAGGCAACAGCATTGGATCCTAATAATGTATTCTTAACTCTCAAACAGTTTTAGGCTGCAGTTTTGTACACTCATTCAATTCAGTGACTAAGATCATGCTATTAATGGAAACCTGAAATTGGCAGATATGGAAGCAGAGTAAAATACCTTATTGTCAGGAGCTGCCTTTTCGCTGTTCCAGTTTCGTAGCATTTCTTCACTGGTATCAGGAATTGCTACAAAACCTTTTCCAGTGCCAAATCCCAAGCCAGATCCATAGCCACATGCCAGCAGTAAGAGAGGCACAACTATAAAGAAACTTATTGGATCAGTGACCAACCAAAGATTCAAATTCCAAAGAAAAACAACTTCACAAAAGAATTTGCATTTGTGATTACTTATCTTTCAAAACGTTATCCTGTTTCTGAATATACCATTTAATAGAAACATTGTTGCATGACAAACAGGCAGCATACCACCTCTGTACTGACCTACCCTTTCTGTCAGTTCAACACATTTTAACATTCCAATGAAGTGAGAGCAACAGAAAATGAAATTTTAACTGCACTCAGCAATCTCATTTCATTTCAAATGGCTCATTGTTAAGCATCTTCGAAACTTTCACAGCTACACATATTCTGCAATGTACTTAGAAAATCATCTACCCTATTGGGTACAAAATGTCATTTCTTGAACTCTTCAGCATTTATTTTAAAAATACATAAAATATGCTGCGAAAATAGATTTGAAAATGTATAGATAAATGCACAGCTTGCGCCATCAAAGAATCTAGGACAGGGCCAGCAAAAGTTATTTTTTCAGACTCCAGACTCTCTTGAGCAACTCCTGGGAATTCTTGTCCAAAGAAGTACTTTTCCAGCCTCTGCTCCAGATGAAAGAAAAAGCACTATTCCTAGCCATCAGGGGTCAGACTTTTAATCTCTTGGAACTCTATACAGTTCCTTTGCTCCCCCTGCTGTTTAGCAGAAACATAACTGTGCCAGATTAAAACACACAGACACACTGCCACACAAATAATTTTTACAGATCATGCATTTTGATGTCATTTGGGGACACCAGGCCCGTAGCCAGGATTTCGATTCGGGGGGGGGGGGGGTGTTTGGGGAGCTGAGTTTGATGGGGGGGGGGGCTGAGTCTGAGTGAAAAGGGTCTACCCTAGCAAACCTTTTGTATCATTACCCCAATACCCCCATGCATATGGGATATATTGAGTATGGTGATCAGATCATGATATGAATAAACATAACAGTTTAAATAATGCACCAGTAAGGCCTTTTCGAACCACCATGAGAATTTCGGGGGGGGGGCTGAAGCCCCTCAAGCCCCCCCCCCCCGCTACATTCCCGGCGGAGCACAATTTTAATTGTAATTATTTTATTTTACTTGAGGAACATGAGATAGAGGATAAAGATAGGGCCGGGCTTTAGCAAAGCAGGTCAATCACCAAGCTGCAATAAATCTTGCCAACCAGAAGGTTGATAGTTTGAAGACTGGGTTGGGGTGAGTGCCTGACCTTTTAGCCCAGTTTCTGCCAACCTAGTAGTTAAAAAACAAATATGTGAGTAGATAAGTAGGAACCGCATTAAAGCGGGGAGGTATTTTAGGCACGGTGTTTGATTAGAAAAAAAGAAGAAAGTTTACAAACAAGAAAAATGCTCTCCAGCAAGGAGATAGAGCAACAGCACCCCCTTTTGGCCAGTACTGAGCATAGCCTCCAAAGATGCTGAAAGATGGGAAAGTCTAAAATATACCTATATCTATTGTCAGTCTTGTCATTATACAACCGGCTTTGAATGTTTGCCGTATATGTATTCTGTGATCTGCCCTGAGTCCCCCTTATGGTGAGAAGGGCAGAATATAAATACTGTAAATAAATAAATAAAGTTGCACTCACTTCTACCTGACAAGAGTTCCATAGGCCTAAGTTGGTCACTGTAGGAACAGAACATCAGTCTAATTCAATATGTCAGGAAAGAGCTTAACTATTTTTGGACTGTGCCTGGAGTCTATTTTTTAAAAAATAAACACTATCATCTCCTGAATGAAGGAACAATTTTGCCTGATTCTCATGAGATTCAAAACATGAGCAACAATTTTGAGCTGGGACATGTTACTTACTTGAAAATACTGGTTGGGGATTTTAGGAGTCTAAAAAAAATTACACTTCTTAGCAATGCTTTCAGTCTTTATGGGTAAAAAAGAATAGTTACTTACGTAACAGCAACAAAAGTGCCAAAATGATCAGTGCAATTGCTGCAGGTCCAAGGACAACTGAGGGACTAACTATTGCCTCTGTAGTTCTGCAATCAGTACGATCTACACAGTTGCAAACGTGCACCTTTAGGATCTGTGGTTCAGGGCAGCTCAAGCCTTGGTTGTCTTTTACTAAGAGAGAAACTTCATATGTTCCAACATCCACATTCTGTGGCACCAACTGTGCTCTAGTTCCTTTGGAAGAGAGAAAGCAAGAGTAGAAATAACAAAATATAACAATGGAATACAAGTTGGTGAAATAAGACATCTCTTAATAACAACAACATCGCTGCAAGATTGTAAGAACCATCAGCTTCAAGGTTACAAGTTCAAATTTAAAGAACAAAATCATACTTTGAGACAAACACATCTGCTCTTAGGTTATGTAACTGCTGCAAAATATTCTCTAAACTGTATGCTTTGTATACAAGCTTAGAGGATTAAAATTAGTGTGTATCAAGCAAACAAATCTCTTTTTGTACAAAAATCAAATGAATTTCTAAAATATAATTACAAAAGAAGGGAGAAAGAAAAAAAGAAAGGGGTAATATGAGTGTTGTCTAGACACATACGGCATATTAATATAATCTGAACAACTTTCCAGAAATACTCCAGTATTTTCCTGAGGGTGGTGGCTACAAAATACATAGTTATAGGAGTAAGACTCCTGAACACTGAATAATGGTGAATATTTATTATTTCAACTTTTAAAGTCTTTTACAAAGGTAAAAGGATGCAAGTTCCAATTATACCAACCTTTAGTGATCATGCAATTCCAAATTGCAAGGATGTAATTGAAATAAACTTCTGAGTCTATCGATGCTAAAGATTTTTCTAGCACAAAACTGATAAAATGAATGGAATATATAAGGGCCAAATATTCTAAGAGTGCTAGATTCTGTCTGATCTTAGAAGTTAAGCAGAGTCACACTCATTAATACAGTCAGTCCTTGATTTTCCTATTTTATATAAAGGGCACTATTTTGCTACACTGATTGTTTATAATGAGTCGCCTGAGGGTTGAGAAGGGCGGCATACAAATATAGTAAGTAAGTAAGTAAGTAAGTAGGTAAGTAAGTAAGTAAGTAAGTAAGCAAATAAATAAATAAATAAATAAATAAATAAATATAACAAATAATGGGAGTTCAGCAGATTCACAAGGGTTCTGAAATGAAACCCCAGCAGATATCAAGGGCCCATTGTACCTGCATGAAAACCACCAAAGGATAGCACATGAATAAGGCTGTATTTCATGGGAAGGAACAGGCAAGATCATCTCTGAGTATTCCTTGCCTAAGAAAATCTTATAAATCCACGGCGTTGCCCAACACAGCCAGTAGATTTGAAAATGTAAGCGTGCACACACATATCCAACCAGAAAGGGTACCCATTGAACTCAAGTGTCGGTATCACATGTCACAAGGAGGCGTTATCTCTATTATATCATGAGCATTTAGTTGCAGTAGTCAATTTCTCTCTAAAAATGTATAATGATGTTCAATATACCTTGAAATCAAACCAATATAACCATGCTGAATCGAGTCATTTTCACTGAACATCCCTTAATGTTACAAAAGTTCCAAAGCTACTTGAAAAATTCACCCCACTTCCAAGTATATATAAAGTCTGGTGAAAGGGAGTTGGGACAATTTCCCTAGTTGAAGGACAATAACAGAAAAGTTTATTTGGTTTATGACTCATGCTCAAAGTGGGATAGAATCTTATCTATGCCTGTTTTTTCAGTCACTGTTGAAATCATACTACTTGAGGACCAGAATATCTAGGTTCAGGTTCCCATTCTCAGCTTATTGAAGGAAGTTTACTGAAGGAACAGCAGGTTATAGCTGTAATCAACAGTTAACAAACCAATAATAAATAAATAATGAGTGTGAATTCAGTATCTTTGTTCTTTCTTCTGAGTTCAGATAGGCATCTAAACTGACATATTTAGAAAAAAAAATCACTTCCCTGGAGTGAAAGATAAACATGATGGAAAATGGAAAGAATCACTCAGCCTCTGTAAAATGTGTTACACGGTTTCTTACCAGCCATCTGGCCAATTGTCCATCTCTCTGACATCCTTTCAGGTCCATCAATGACAGTGAAAGTAAAAGGGCCACCATATGGATGAGCATCTCGATCCTCAACAGTGACATTAATGAACTTGGCACCAGTACAGAGACTTGCCTCTCGAGTCACTAAAGTTGGGCAGTGGTCATTAAAATTTGGCACTTCAATTACAATGGTACCTGTGGCTGTTTTTGAAGGGATGTCTGCAAAATATCAAAGAAAAACACTGGCATTTTACTAATACATTTTAATATGAGGAATTCAGATGTTTCCTAGATTTGGCAGAACATTTTAATACAAACTCAGTATTATCTTGTGAACGGGCAACATGACTGGACTTAACGTGTGTACTCATGAAGACATTTGTTTGGCAATGATCTGGGCCCTTTTGCACTATGTATTTATAGCTCTGTGATCCAATGTAATTGCCATGGATCCATCTTATGCAATTTCATGACAACAAAACAGGAGATCATTTTGGATTTGTGAAGACTCTGCATTTGATTAAGAGGGAGCACTGGTGGCCATTGTGGTTGTTGTGTACCTTGAAATAGTTTCCAACTTACGGTGACCCTAAGATAAACCTATCACAGAGTTTTCTTAGCAAGATTAGTTCAGAGGGGCTTTGTCTTTGCCTTCTTCTGAGACTGAGAGTGTGACTTGCTCCAGGTCACCCTGGGAATTTCCATGGATCAGTGGAGATTCAAAATTTAAGTCTCTAGATTTGTAGCCTAATGCTCAAACCACACATCACACTGGCTTTAAAAAATCCCTCCCTAAATTGCAAATACCAGGATTTCATATGATGTTGTCATGACAGTTTAAATGAAACCACAGTACTACAATTATGTAGTGTAAAGGCCCCTGAATGGTTAGAATATTCTGCTTTAGTGTTACTCTATTTCTTAAGGCCCTATTGACTATAAAGTCAAGATTTAGGCATCAAGAAGAGCAGTCATTAAGTGAAACTGATCAATAGCTACCAACATAATGATACAAAAATGTTGTTTGTGTGCAATCACAATTGCAATTTAATCATGGCATCTTATATAATGGGACTTGAGCATTCATGGATGTTGGTATCTATAGGAGTCCTAGAATTAAACCCTAGTGGATACTACTGTACTTTATTATGCTAGAATGCACAATGTACTCCCCAATCTTTACATCTTTTTAATGCCAAAGGACCTTAAAATATCCTAGAGAACAGAACAATGATGTGATGCCATACCAGGCATCCAGTTAAGATGATGCCCAGCAGAAAACAGATTCACTACCCAGAGTTCTCATTTGTGCATTGGCTTGTAGAAGATTAGAAAGTCTCTTTGGAAAATGTGAAGAGAATCCCACTTCTAAATGCTTCCTAACATGCCACAGCTCAGAGGAAGGCAGATCCTTGTCTTTTTCAGAAGACCCATGTAAATACCATAGTATTTGGAGGAAGAAAAGCCAACTGGAGCAACCACAATGGCTAAACATTAGCCAAAATCACCGCTTCCATTTTCTTAATCTGTTAATATACTTGGACAGATGCTGCTTTGGGTCTTAGTAATGACAAAATATATATCATGAGTAAAGTGGTGATGGATTCTTAAATAAGAAGGGAAAAAGGCAAACTAATCACTCACCATCACTTATGGCCAAAATTGTTGCAGTATAAGTACCATTATTAACAAATTGTGATTCATAACCAGGCACTTTAATCAGTTTAATATCAGCTGTTTTGGAGTCTATTATGAACCAGTTTGCGGCATCCCGGTCTTTAGCATACCTGTGTAAATTTTAAACATGTATTTGAATATTCACATCAATCAATATATAAAAGGCATTTAGTTCATAGTCACATAGGCCTGGTAGTTATGGAACATAATACAACATCTTCATCTTTGGGTTGTTGCAAGTTTTTTGGGCTGTATGGCCATGTTCCAGAAGCATTCTCTCCTGACATTTTGCCTGCATCTATGGCAGGCATCCTGAGAGGTTGTGAGATCTTCAACCCACACTATCTACATGGGGCTGCCTTCAAGGATAGTTTGAAGCTGCAATTAATGCAGAGATTGACGGCTAGATTGCTAACTGGAGCGCCGTATTGTGAGAGAACTCCCCCATGCTGCAGCAGCTCCACTGGCTGCCACTCCACTTCCTAAATACAAAGTGCTGGTTGTTACCTATAAAGCTCTAAATGGGAACCCTGACGATTCGACTTCTCGCTGTGAAGCTTTTGCTCAGTTCTTTGCAGACAAAGTCGCTTTGATCCGTTCTGGTCTGGATACCATGTTAATGGCAGTCTCTGAGGATGTAACACGAGCACCTGCTTGTCCAGTTTTGATGGATTCATTTCCATTGGTGAAACCCGAGGATGTGGACAAGATACTTGGAGGAATGAGGCCAACCACATGCATCCTGGACCCCTGCCCATCCTGGCTTCTAAAGGAGGCCAGAGGGGGATTGGCTGAGTGGGTTAAGGTGGTGGTTAATGCTTCCCTTCGGGAAGGCAAGATTCCAGCGAGCTTAAAACAAGCTATAATAAAACCGCTGTTGAAGAAACCATCACTGGACCCCACTAAATTCGACAACTATCGGCCAGTTTCCAATCTCCCCTTCTTGGGCAAAGTCTTGGAACGTGTGGTGGCCTCACAACTCCAGGTATTCTTGGTAGACACGGATTATCTAGACCCGGCACAGTCTGGCTTTAGGCCGGGACATGGTACCGAGACAGCCTTGGTCGCCTTAGTGGATGATCTGCGCCGGGAGCTCGACAGGGGGAGTGTGTCCCTGTTGGTGCTGCTGGACCTCTCAGCGGCCTTCGATACCGTCGACCACGGTATCCTTCTGGGACGCCTCGCAGGGATGGGTCTTGGAGGTACTGTTTTGCAGTGGCTCCGGTCATTCCTGGAGGGTCGATCTCAGAAGGTGTTGTTGAGGGACACCTGTTCAACCCCACAACCATTGTCTTGTGGGGTTCCTCAGGGCTCAATATTGTCTCCCATGTTGTTTAACATCTACATGAAGCCGCTGGGGGAGATCATCCGGAGTTTCGGGGTACGGTGTCATCTGTACGCGGATGATGTCCAACTCTGTCACTCCTTTCCACCTGCTACTAAGGAGGCTGTCCAGGTCCTGAACCGGTGCTTGGCCGCTGTGACGGTCTGGATGAGGGCGAACAAATTGAAATTGAATCCAGACAAGACAGAGGTACTCCTGGTCAGTCGCAAGGCCGAACAGGGCATAGGGTTACAGCCTGTGTTGGATGGGGCTGCACTCCCCCTGAAGATGCAGGTTCGCAGCTTGGGTGTGACCCTGGACTCATCGCTGAGCCTGGAACCCCAGGTTTCGGCGGTGACCAGGGGAGCATTTGCACAGCTAAAGCTTGTGCGCCAGCTGCGCCTGTACCTTGGGAAGTCTGACTTGGCCACGGTAGTCCACGCTCTGGTTACATCCCGTTTAGACTACTGCAACGCTCTCTACGTGGGGTTGCCTTTGAAGACAGCTCGGAAGCTCCAACTAGTCCAACGCTCGGCAGCCATGATTTTAACAGGAGCGGAGCGCAGGGAACATACAACCCCCCTGTTGCGCCAACTCCACTGGCTACCGATCTGCTACCGGGCTGAATTCAAAGTGCTGGCGTTGGCCTTTAAAGCCCTAAACGGTTCCGGCCCAAGCTACCTATCTGACCGCATCTCTGCCTATGAACCCACCAGGAGCTTTGAGATCTTCCGGGGAGACCCTGCTCTCGATCCCGTCTGCTTCTCAAGCTCGGCTGGCGGGGACGAGAGATAGGGCCTTCTCGGTGGTGGCTCCTCGGCTGTGGAACGCCCTTCCTACGGACATTAGACTAGCACCATCTCTAATGGTATTCCGCAAAAAGGTGAAGACCTGGATGTTTGTGCAGGCGTTTGAGTAATTTAGTACAATCTGGTAATGGAACATAGGAATGGAACAATGGACGACGAATCTGGACTACGCTTGGATGATGAGAAGATTGGGTACGGTTGTTTTTTGTAATAATTGTGCATTGTAATTGCTTATTGGTAATTTATGGATAATGTGTTAAGTCAATTGTTATATGTTGTATGGAACCACTGCTGTTTCTACTGTTTTTACTGTTTGTGAACCGCTGTGAGTCGCCTTCAGGCTTGAGATACAGCGGTATATAAGCAAAGTAAATAAATAAATAAATAAATAAATAAATAAATAAATAAATGGCTCAAGCCCAGGCTATTTCTTTAATCGCATCTGTGTATGCAGACCATTCCTTGCACTGCGGTAAACAGAGGAGACCCTCCTCTTGGTTCCATCTCGTCACAAGCTTGTTTGGTGGGAACGAGAGAGGGGGCCTTCTCCGTGATCGCTTCCTGTCACTGGAACTCCCTCCCTAAAAAAGTAAAAACAACCTCACCCTCCTCTCCTTTAAGAAACTTCAAAAATGCACCTATGCACTTTAGCGTATGGAGAGGAGGAGAAACTAAGACACTTTAACTACTTGTAATGCTGGCTAGTCCCACTTGTTTTATTTTTCATCACAATGCTTAATTCTTTATTGTAAGCTCACTGTTATTATTGTTGCTTTATTGTCCATTATTTTGATGTTTTTATACTCACCTGAGGCATTGAATGCTTGACTTTTGTGTGTGTGTAAACCACCCCGAGTCCCTTCAGGGAGAGAGGGTGGTCTAGAAATAAATAAATAATAATAATAATAATAATAATAATAATAATAATTATTATTATTATTATTATTATTATCTTCTTGTATTTTCCTTGTTTCTGTGAACATCCTGGAACTTGTTTTTCATAAATTTGTTTGAGATACAAATTATAGTAGAAGATTAAAATATGCATGTATTTTTTTCCTTCTTGGAGGCTTTCTGCACATGGCTAGCTGACTATTGCAGAAATAAAATGTGACTAAATATTTCTTTATGTAAGAATGGCTCTTATGTTCTCTTCTTCATATGTAAGCATGGCTCTTATGTTCTCTTCTTCATATGAAAGGTCAATTATTTTACTGTTTGCTAGAAACTGATATAACAAAGAAAAATCTCTTACCTGACATTTCCAGCTATTTTTCCAGTATCTTGATCATGTGCTTGAAAACTCCCAATAATCTGGCCTATGGTCATTTTTTCACTGCCTTTAATCACCATAGTTTGGGGCTTAAATACAGGGCCTTCCACTACATTTTCCACATTTATTTTAACTGGAATTGGTTTTGCTTGGAAGCCCTGTTTGATAATTGATTCATGATATGCTGCTTTGTTAGAAACAACAATATTCAAGTCAACACTCTTTAGGTCTTCATAATTCATTTCCTACAGTAAAAACAAGGAAAAATCCACTCAAATGGAAATACACATATTGAAAATTTTAAACTGAAGAATTCATAAATGCTCAGTACTTAGCTCATTCCTGATAAAAAGAACAAATTTGGTTTGAATGTTTCTAAACACAGCATAATGTAAATATCTGATATGCAGTATGTATTTCCATTCACTGGACCAAATTTGGCACAAATACCTGATATGCCCAAATTTAAGTACTGGCAGTGTTGTGGGGAGGGGAGGGGGAAATTGATTTTGTCATTTGGGAGTTGTAGTTGCTGGGATTTACAGTTCACCTACAATCAAAGAGCATTCTGAACACCACCAACGATGGATTTGAACCCAACTTGGCACACAGAACTACCATGACCAACAGAAAATACTAGAAGAGTTTGTTGGGCATTTGCCTTGAGTTTTGGAGTGTTAGTTCACCTACATCCAGAGAGCAGGAGGAGGGCTTTTGGTGGGAGGAGTCAATGACTGTTTCCAAAAGGAAGAGAAGGACAGGCAGAGAGACCTTCAACCTTCAGCAAAGGGGTTCTTAAGACCATCAGAAATATGTGTTTTCTGGTGGTCTTTGGTGACCCCTCTCAAACCCCTCTCACGACCGCCCTCCGGGTCCCGACACCCAGGTTGAGAAACACTGTTCCAGAGTCTCATGAAATTTCACTTCACTTTTGTATATGTTTCAAACACTAGAACAATTGTTGAGAAGTCCCTAAATACCTCTAATTTATTAGAACATTATAAAAATATGTTTTTGTTATGAACAATATACATAACAGAAGACAAATTAATATATTATACATTTTCTTTGTTATCATGCAAGCACTTTTTCAGCCATTAAACAGTGATCCAGTGCTTTCCTTGTGCAATGTATGCAAATAAATTAGCATTACCCCCACGTTCACTTCTAAAAGATCCCAAGTAGCCAAGTGGCCAAACTTCTAATGTTTTCAGATTTTTGAAAAGTGTGTGTGTATTGAGGCGTGCTTATGTGCATGTATGCACACAAGAGAAAAAAATCCAGTGTCTGCTCAGGGAAAGGCCTCTATTCAGGGTTTGGAAAAAAAACTTGGAACAGAATTTCCAAAATCTACCAGCCAATATGGTGATGAGATTTCTAGTTCCATTATTTTTCTAAGTTTCATTCTTTCTGCGATCTTGGAGAGCCACTGCCAATCAAAACAGTCAGCAATGGTCTAGATAACTTGACTTAATATAAGATTCTCTTGCAAAGCCATAATGTGCATAAAGCAGAGCATGGAAGGATTGCTACTCATGAGCAGAAAAATACCAAAAGCTATATTGTAGTAGCAGCTAGATTTACTACACCCATTCAATCAATCCTCATGTGTGAAAGGGATCAAGTATCCCGTTCTATATGCAAAAGATTCCAACATGCCAAAGAAACCCAAAATATCTTAATAAGAAACACTAACCTTAACCAATTTCAAAACACCTTCATTGGTCTGTGAATCTGTTTCTATCTGGAAATAGCCTCCTTCGTTGCCAGACAAAATTGTGAACTGTGCCAGCCAGTTATCAGAAAATTCTTCATCTCTGTCAAAGGCCTTCAGTCGCATAATTTCCACATTGGCTGTATTTTCCTTAACGCTTCCTACATACTGCAAACAAACCATCGTTTTTAGCATTTCATCCATTTTATCAGGGCAGAAAGAGATAATTTGATTTTCAGACACTTCACTTACATTGTCCTTTTCAAGAACAGGAATGTTGTCATTGACATCCAAAATCTTGATCTGTAGACTAGTCTGCTGACTATTTGCGGATAAACTTCCATTGCCATCTTTTGCTTCCACAATTAAACTGTAGCTACTGTGCACCTGGAAGATATCGCTGTATAAGAAAATGCAGCCATGTACCAGAGCTCTTCCCCCATACATACAAACAAAAAACAGTTTTGGGTAAGGGAAAATCCCAATACATCTATTGATTGATCTACAGTCAACCCTCCACAACTGTGAGTTTAATGTCTGTGAATTTGAATAATATGCTGGTGGACCTAGAGATTCCTGGAAAGATGTTCCCTGAAAAAAAGCATTTGTATGGAGTTTTTTTTCACTCTTGCAGAGGCCCTGCATCCCTAACAACAGTGAATATGGGTGTCCGACTGTATTTTTTAAAAATATCAAGCAACTTTAATGATGATTAATAGTGATGCAGTGAAGCAGAAATAGCATTCTCTAATAGTCAATATATCAGTCCCATTTGAAATTCCTTCCAGTGCAGGTTGGGGGATGGTGGAGCTTCACTGATTTTATTTTGTTCCACTTTGTGTTGTAATGGGTGGTTTTGTTCCACCTTTTGCTTGGCTCTGCGTGTTTCAGTGGAACAGACTTGATTCTACACACACACATACACACATACTTCCCATATTTACAGCTGTTTTATACACACACACACACACACACACACACAAATATTAGTATATGTATATATTAACTAGAGGTTTGTTGTACTCTTTTAAATTTTTTTAAAATAAGCAGCCATTACTGTTTTTTTATTTCAAAAAGGCACTATACAATATTTCTTTTAAAAATTAATCAGAATTAGAATTAGGACTCAGGACTAAATTTAAATCTCAACTACAGCAGACACAATTAATGAACAGGAATATAAAAAAACCCCAAACAATTATTGTATAGTCCACTCTCTATGCTTTCTGACAAGCTGTTCTGGCAGTCTGGAGCAACATAAGAAGTGATGAATAAAAAGTCAGAGGAATTAAAAATTAAAAAAGGTTGCCTTCCTATTTCTTGGTTCCACCACTACTTTTTGTTGTATGATCTTCCAGGAATCTTTTCTTTCAAGAAATGACAGATTTGACTCCAAGCCAGCATTTGGCAGGTGTAAACTAAAGAACAAGAAAGGTGACCAGCACATTTTCACCCATAAATGCAATCCTTGATAATGGAAGATAACATATGATAACTAGGGATTGAAAGATGACAAGGATGACAAAACAAAAATACCTCTCTGTCAAGTTGGATGAGTGCAGTCCGAACCTCCCCTGTTTCAGGTTTAATTACAAAAGCTTGAGGCCGATTAGGTTCCTGTGAAACGATCCTGTAATGAATTATGGAGTTTTGATGGTTTGGCTCATCTGCATCTGTTGCAGTTATCTTCATCACAAGAGTACCTAAGAAAGCATTGTCATAGAGTAATGCTGGTTAAGTAACTGTGAACTGAAGGTTTTCAAACAATCTATCAAATCATAAGATTCAGTTCAAATATAGATGCTCGGTCAAACAGCACACACAAAAAACCCTAAATCATAAAGATATTTTCCATGATATCTAACAGTTACCCTTACTTTTTGTTTGGCTGACTGTATTTATATTCCACCTTTTTCAGTTCATGACCCAACATAGCTTAGAACAAATTAAGACACAAGTACAGAAAATATCTATTCATACAAAACTTTTAAAATCAAATAAGCAAACAAGTATATTCAAAACTTTAAAACAGTTTTAAAAATATCAAAACAGCTAAAAGAACAAAAACGTAATACACCCTATTATCCCTATTAATGGATGATTACATACATTATGGAACAAAACTATGATGAAATGTGGTTAAAACTGCAGTATATATTTAAGAAATAAAAATAAACAAATATTATTTGTTTATTTTGATACTAATTTGACAATTGATACTAATTTGACAATTAGTATCAACTTGTAGATTTTTTTTTCTAGGGCTTCATCACACTAGAGGAAAAAATCCACTTAAAATCCGGTTTCTGCCTCTTGCAGAATTCTGTGGTTTGTGGTTAGGGAGGAGCCTTTAAGACCCTCACTAAACTACAAACCCAAGAATTCTGCAGGAGGCAGAAACTGGATTTTAAGTGGATTTTTTCTCTAGTGAGATGAAGTGGTAGAACAGACCCCTCAAATTAATGGGAACTTGCAAAGTTTACATTTTCATAAGTTCCATTAATTCAACAGATTATAATGTTTATCAATGAATAAAATAATATGCTATGTTGTAACAAAATAAAATAGTATGTTTCTGTAAATCTCAGTTCTCAAGCAAAGATATATATCTTAGCTACTCCATCTAAAAGTAAGGTCCCAAGCTATTTAAGGCTTTCAATATCACAACTAGAATCTTGAATTGAAACAAGAAGAAAATTGGCAGGTAGGCATGTATTTGATACCTGTTCAAATATTACATCCATGAATGTACAGTCAGTCCTCCACATCTGCTGACATTAGGGGCATAGGAATCCCCATGAAAGTGAAGCAATACAAATAAAGAAATTACTACTTTTTTAAACCTCAGAGAACACTATGGTTAATATCAGCTGGAAGCTGATCACAGAATTGCATCAGAGGACCAGGGAATCCGAGAGAGGTGTTCTTTCTCGAAATATCTAGATACCCCAGCATGACTAGAGGAAGTTGAATATAGAAAACTTAGGTCCCTAGAGACAACATGTTGAATTTGCAAATAATCAAATCCATAAAAATGGAAGGATGTCTGTATACCCAATAGCACCATAGGCAGGACAGGTGCACTAGGAGATTGGGAAGGCTAGGCACATTTTTGCAAGCCATTCTGAATAGGGGTCAGATCTGAGGAAAATATTAATCTTATCTAATCTATAAACAAATTTCTGTACACAGAAATCTAGTATAGTATATTCCAGAGAAATGCTTTTGCTCAATCCTATTCATGCTGTATGTACTATTGCTGTTATAGCCGTGTGTAGGAAATTCTTCAAAGGAGCATTTAGCATTTTAAAATCCTCACCTGCACTCTGAAATAGTACAATTCCAAGATTCTTTTAGCCCTCTCTGCATAATGAACATTCAATAATTAACACACATTTAGTCAAATGCCTTTCCCTTTCCCCATCTTGGTTTTCAAGGTAAGTGGTATGAAAAGGAAGACAGTTTGGACTTTTAAAAATTCATCTTGTCACCATTGTAGTCTTACTTTCAACTAGATCTTCTAGCACAGGCATGGGCCAACTTCAGCCCTCCAGGTGTTTTGGACTTCAACTTCCACAATTCTTAACAGCCAGTAAGCTGGCTGGGATTTCTGGGAGTTGAAGTCCAAAAGACCTGGAGGTCCGAAGTTTGCCCATGCCTGTTCTACCATTTTCTCACATTCTTTACATTCCATCTTCAATACATGTCAAGGACTTACCCATTTCTGACAGTTCTTCAACAGAACCTGAAAAGACCTCCTGCGAAAATACTGGGCTGTTGTCATTTATATCCAGAACTTTAATTCGTAGATCTAATGGTTTTTCCAAGTTGGCACCATATTTATCCCGTGCATAACCTTTTAGCTGAAATATCAATGAATAAATAAGGGACAGGAAGGTAAAAATAGTCAGGATATTGGATTATGCTTCTTGTTTGTTTCTGGAGATCAAGGAAAATATAGTTGACTACATATTCACAGGGGTTAGGAGATTAGAAAATGCACAAAAGTTGAAAAACTGTTAATATCTCTGGGAGTGGGGCAAAGCTTCCTTGTGGAGCCAGCAGGTTGTGAAGGGTACTGCTGTGTTTCTCCTGAAGCTGTAGGGAGAGTGGAGAAGCAACAATCTCAGTCACTAGTTTTCATGGGGGTGGTTGGTGATTTTTTATCGTGTTTTCATTTTTTTAAACTGAAAACAAAATAACATCATATTTAAACAGATAATAAATGTCTATTGTAGCCTTACATTATGATATAAATTCTATATTATCTATTCACATTCTTTACAGATTCATTCATATTAGATTTTTTCATTTTTTTCTCCCACCACCCTTCCCTACCCCTCCCTCCACTTCTCTCTCTATATCTATATCTTTATTTTTAACCACGAACACAGCCTTTTTAATCTTTGTACAATATTTTTATTTATTTATTTATTTACTTTGTTTGTATACCGCTCTTCTCAGCCCTTAGGCGACTCAGAGCGGTTTACAACAGTTTAGATATACAGAATACAAAATCACTATGCATTTAAAAACAATTACTAGTATTATATTGCATTACATTACAATATTGTAATCTATGTATATCTATGCTGGCTTCACCTTCTTCTACCCATTTCATATAAATTGCCCATTTCTCTTTAATTTCTTCTGTTTTGTCCTCCTGTGAACCTTCTTGGGTTATACATGCAATAATATCTGATTGGACTTGCTCAAATAAATAGTTATTTCAATTTTCCATATTCCACTTTTTTATCTCTCCATCCCCAGGCTATTACCACCTTTCCTGCTAAAATCATTGCTTTAAATAGGTCTTGGTTCTTTGCAGCAATGTTTTTATTCCCTGTAATTGCCATTAACATAACTTCCATATTGACTTGGATTGTTATTTTGAAAAGTTTCCCCATTTTAAAATCATCTTATCCCAAAACGTTGTTGCATTTAAGCAGTCCCACCACATATGTGTATATCAGCCTTTCTCTACTTTACAATGCCAACACATTGGGCTTAGTCCTACTCCCATATTTGTGAGTTGAGCTGGTGTCCTGTACCATTTCCAGATAAATTTCCTTTCTAATTCTTTATATGGGTGGTTGGTGATGTTAGATCACCACCGCCTCATCCTCTCAAATGAAGGGGAGCAGAGCAGTGGCAATCTCAGTTAACAACTTCCCTACAATTGAAGTCTACAAACCAGAAGACTTTGGAGGGTAGTTGGAAGCTGAAGCTGCAGGGAGCTGAGAAGCAGTAAGGGCTGTTGTCAACCAACTCCTGAAGGCTACATGCTCACTGGTATCTGGAGTTGATTAGCAACGATGATTGCTATTGCTCTGCCTCCCTCAAAATCATGGGGTTGGGGGTGGATGTGGCAGCAATGGTCTTCCAACTGTCTCTAGAAATCTTCACAGCAGCAAAGTTTGGGAAGTAGTTTGGTAGGGAGCTTGCTAAATGCAATACAAGTCAAGAGGTGACAAATGACATGAATCTGAAAGTGCTTAATAGGGAAAAAATTTTCTTCACTTACATGCAAGATTGGTGTTTCTTCCCGATCAACTATTCCAGTTATGTTTAGCTCTCCAGTTGTTTCATTAATCACAAATAATCCATAAGGTGGTTCTGTAGCTCCTTGGCCAGAAATAGTATAGGTAACAATTACTCCTGGTTCATTTGAACGATCAGTATGTATCTACAAATAAGATGAAGAGATGAGAATGGATGGTTGGAGATTAAATGTCTCTTAAAAACAATGCTTTTTAATACTTTTTCTGCAGGGGAGAGGGGGAGGCATTTGTATTGTTTCAGTTATGTTACACTGTATAAAGCACCTCATAATTTGAAGATTGTCAGTAGATTAAAAGGTCTCTGTAGGTTTAAAAGAAAATTAAGCTAAGGTAAGAATTTGCAAAGTCTATAGTTCTCCAAAACCCCAGGCTCTGATGGAGAAGGATAACTTGAGGTGGCAGAATGGAGTAATAGAGGACACAGTTAAGGATAAACACTGAGGATGAAGGGAATGAGAGAGCTTGGAAGTAAGAATAATGTGGTTTATTTGGAGTGTTGGACTCCCACTGCTGCCAATACTTTTTTATTACATTGCTGCAACAATAGGACAGTGCTAAAGAAATGCCTTCTACACAACAAGCCAATGTCATGTCTATCAGGTTTTAATTTATTTGTCTGTGACTTACTTTAGCAATTGGGTTCTTTTTGGAATTGTCCCTCTCTTCCCAGATGACTGCAGGTGGGACAATCCATTCCCGCTTTTGCCTAATTAGGCTGTTTTCATTGAATAGCTTGTTGTTTTTGCCACCAAGAATCTGTCAGAAAATCAATAGATTAAGCACCCAGTATACATTTGGCAAAACATAAGCATAGTTTAATATAGATTGACAGCACAATCCTATGAGATTTTTTTTCAGAAATGAATGCCACTTTTTCCCTAGGGCAGTATTTCCCAGTCTGGCACCAACCAGATGTGTGGGATGACAACTTCCATCATCCACAGCACTCTTGACAATAGCCATGCTGGTTGCTAATGATGAAATCTGCATCCTAATACATCTGGGGGACACAAGGCTGAGGATGGCGGCCTAAATAAGTATGTAAGAATCATTGTAACATATGACTATGGTTCTATACAGACATCCAAAGGGTTACATTCTACTGAACCCAGAGAAGCTTATTACAAAGGAAGCCTATCCGTTGTTTACTTACCTGTACTTCCATTAAACCACTACAGATAGAAAATAATTAAATACAGATCGAGTATCACTTGTCTGAAATGTTTAAGACTAGAATTTTTCTATATTTGATTTTTTTGGGGGGATTTTGAAATAATTGCATACACACAATAGAAATTTTGGAGATGGGACCCAAGTCTAAACATGAAAGTCATTTATGTTTCACATACACCTTATTCACATAACCTTAAAGTATTTTATACACAACATTTAAAAATAATTTTGTGTATGAAAGAAAGTTAGTATATACTGAACCACCAGAAAGCAAAGATGTCATTATATCATCCGTCCATGTGGATCCTGGATTTCGGAGGTGTCACATTTTGTAATTCTATATAAGGGATACTCAACTGGTAATGTTTTCTAAAACAACACAATTCCACCGATGCTGGATGGATTGTAACAGTTAGAAAATGTATTAGAAACAGCAAAAATATCATAATAATACTTCTAGCAAGAAAAAACCCAAGAAGGAGCAAATTTATGCTTTCTATGTTGACCCAGCTCATCCTCTTTGTCACCAGATTTGCCATTTTAGTTTGTGGACTTAAACCTTTCTGTTTTCTAGAATATTTTACCAAATTGATAGTATGTTAAGAGCTAGATATAGATGAAGTCAAAACAGTGGAGTGGCTCACATGTGTTTTATTATCTCATTTTCCTTCCCCACTCATCTCCATCTGTTTAATATCAATTCTCAATGTATCCTTTTTGCTGCTCATACACAACATTCAACCAGAGGCGGCTGATACCTATGCCAGTGGTGTGGTGAACCACTCTGAGTTTTAATCAAGACTTTACCTATTTTTGGGGAGAGGGTTCAAAAACATTCTGGGTTCTGAAAAATTCAGGATGGACTTAAGGTCCCAGCTACATGGGGAGTCATCGGCCACCACTGCAGTCAGTAATATTTAGAATGTCTTTTCTATTCACTGCAGGTTCATACAAATGCCTACCTCTAAGTGAAGTCCATTTCCAAAGACGACCCAACTCTGCAAAAAAACAAAAACAAACCATAAATAAAACACATACAAATACATTTTAAAAAACCCACAACAAAACAAGCAATATGGCATTGTGCATTATTACAATGGAAGGAAACTCAATTGTTGTTTTTTTCTCCTTTTCTCCCCTCTTACTAAAATAAAACGAACAAAACAGGGTTGTTAAGTCTTAAAGAACTTTAAGTACAGTACATCACTACTTTTTCATCCGTAAGAGCCTAAAGACCTGGCTCTTCGAGAGGGCATTTAACTAAGTGCCAGGCTAACTGATAATGACAATCGGAACGGAATATGGATTATGAGACTGGTAGGTTCCTATGTTGTGACGGTGCGGATTAGTTAGTATAATTTAGATTAATGTGTAATTATGGCTTGTTGATGTACTGTGTGTTTTTGTAAACTGTTTTTATATGTTGTACACCGCCGCGAGTCACCCTAGGGCTGAGAGCGGCGGTCAACAAATGCATTAAATAAATAAATAAATAAAGATGTTGCATTATTTTTTAAAAAAAATGAAGATTTAAGAATCATGAAACTAACTAGTCTGCTGGCTATAAGCAAATCATCTCTGGGAAGTCTGCCTTTGTTTGAACTCAGGGTGGAACTGCAAGATAAAAATAAGACATGCTGTCAAAATTGTAACCCTTTGTTTAGTTCATTCTTGCCTTTTTCTGCAAAGCACTGAAGCCAATTAAGTGGGGGCAGGGGAGACAGGAAAAAAGTTCAGTGAAAGATATGTAAGTATTATGTACTACTAATTTGCTGTTTCAATGCATTTAACAGACGTATTTGAGAAAACACTGAATGTATTTTAAAATACATACTCAATAATAATAATAATAATAATAATAATAATAATAATAATAATAATAATAAATTTTATTTCACCCCACCACCATCTCCCTGAAGGGACTTGGGGTGGCTCACAGAAGCACTTCAAGGTGCTGCATATAAAAAAAATACATAAGCATATACAACAACATGTAAGTCTATAGACAATTAACATGCATAAAACCCCATATAATAAAATTATAAAATTCATGAAATGCAGTAAAATCTGTGAATAAGACTGACTGTCTACCATTAACAAACTAAAGTACCAGAGTATGGTCATTGAGAAGTCCTCAAATCTCACCATAAATTACACAGGGTCAAATACCTGTCTAAAAAGCCATGCTTTTAAACTGACCAGAAAGGCTTGAAAGGGGGGGGGGGGGCTAACCTAATCTTTATAGGGAGGTATTTCAGAGATGGGGGCCGGCACTACCGAGAAGGCCCTCTCCCTTGTCCCCACCAACTGTGCTTGAGATGGTGGTGGGACCAAGAGAATGACCTCCATGGCAGATCTCAGAGCCCACACCAGTTCATAGGAGGAGACGCGGTCTTGAAGATAGGTTGGATCCAAAGCATGTAGGGCTTTATAGGTCATATAATGGGAAGGTAGAATGTAGATATGAATCTATAGGCAGATTTCTTTACTTCTCTTTGTTACCAAACTCTGGTTGATGAAGACGGAAATTTTAGGAGAGGTTAAGGCCTGCCTACCCCTGCTTTAAAAGTTCTTTCTCCAATGTGTAATCTACATATGTTTCTAAACAACTTCCATAACCTCCAGCTTGGCAGGGGAGGCTGGAGGTTGCAGTCCAGTATGACGGGAGGGCATTCAGTCAAGGAATGCTGTTCAAATACTTTATTACTCATTGAAGTTGCAGAAAGATATAAATAATCTCCATGCTGTTATGGCAGTCAACAAACCTCACTCATACTTTCTCCAAGTATTAAATTCCATGGTGTTATAAAGTAGGAACACATTATTATACAGACCACAGTCAAATACTAAGATTACAGTGATCAGCTAGTAAATCTAGCTGAGGTAAGACTGACTTCACACTCAAGCACAGTTAGTTCATTCCTTGCACTACAGTCCTATGCATTTATGTTAGGCCATGTGCAAATAACACAACCACTGGAGGCAGAGGTGCATATGTGAATACAATCTAAGTACCAGTCCCACCAATAAGGAGAGAATGCTGAAGACCAACACAATTTGGATATATTACTCCTATGTGCCTCCAACTATGTATGACTATGTAATAACTGAACTAGCTAGGTTATGTTTAATAGTCATCCAAAAAAGGATATGAGCAGTAAGCAGCAATCCTTCTAAACACTCACCATTTCATCCATGCAGGACAATAATATTATATCTACTGCCAATCAGTAAAATGTTTATCACCTTATTTCCATTTGTGATTTTTGATTCAGTTTCACTTTTCTTGCACATTAGTTTCAGACTGTTTAGATTTTCCAACCAGATATTTCAAGCTGGTATTGAGAGCAATCAAGAATTAAATGATATATATTAAACAATCATATGACCCAGTATCTGGTCTGGGGATATCTGACACAGCAGCGATGGAATTGTATTAATTATTCTGTATATATTGGGAATATGTATTATACTTAGGATGTTTAACACTGAAAGGCACAATGTTATAAACATAGCTATAAACATAGGGCAATACTGCAGTAAGGAAACTGGCAATATATATTCATGCGGCCAACTCCCTCCCTTTCATGCTGAGATCTGTGTACTCACAGTAAATCATTGTTTCTCAAGTCCCAGCAGGCACCCATGACATGTTTCTAGCCCAGGGGAGGTTTCTGTTCCAGGGTGGATTTCTTTGTTTTGAGTAAGAAAGACATTTCTTTTGTCTCATGTCAAAGTCTACCCTGCCTTTACATTACAAACAGCCCTGTCATATCATAGTTAAACCTGAATCATGCCTTCCCCCAGCCTTGTACAGGTATAAACTAGAGGAAAGCACCCAAGCTTCATCTCAAAATGGAAGCAGTGTAAGTGCATGGACCTTTGCACATACAGTAACGTCTCGCTTATCCAACATAAACGGACTGGCAGAACATTGGATAAGTGAAAATGTTGGATAATAAGGAGGGATTAAGGAAAACCCTATAAAACGTCTATGTTATGATTTTACAAATTAAGCATCAAAACATCATGTTTTACAACAAATCAACAGAAAAAGCAGTTCAATACATGGTAACATTATGTAGTAATTACTGTATTTCAAATTTAGCACCAAAACATCACAGTGTATTGAAACAGCTGTGGATCTGGGCAGGAGGCAGACTGCGTTGGATAATACAGAATGTTGGATGAATGAAGGTTGGATAAGCGAGACTCTACTTATGTGAGACTTAGAACTCCTTTACTTAATCAGGCTTGACCAACTGGGATTTCAATCTCAAAAGCAAGCTCTAAAAAGGGATTCAATAGTGACAACCAAATGGACTGTTCACATAACTTGTCACACAGAGTTGCCTTTTTGTCCCAAAATTCCACTGTTTATAACATACTAGCTGTGCCCTGCCACGCGTTGCTGTGGCCTTTAGTAAGAGTTTTGAAGTCTCTGCCTGGCCTCTCTTCCTTCCTTCCCTTGCTCTCTTTCCCTCTTTCTCTCTCTCACACTCTTTCCTTTCCCCTCTTTCCCTCTCTCTCTGGCATCCCTCCTTCCTCCCCCTTCTTTATGCTTGTGTGTAAACTTGAGTATTTTCTGTTGGTCATGGGGGTTCAGTGTGGCATGTTTGCCCCAATTCTGTCGTTGGTGGGGTTCAGGATGCTCTTTGAGTGTTGGTGAACTCTGAATCCCAGTGACTACAACTCCCAAATGTCAAGGTCTATTTCCCTCAAACTCCATCTGTGTTCATATTTGGGCATATTTAATGCTTATGCCAAGTTTGGTCTGGATCCATCATTGTTTGAGTCCACAGTGCTGTCTGGATGTTGGTGAACTACAACTCCCATACTCAAGGTCACGGAGGGAAGGGGTGGGGCGAAGGGAGGGGGCGTGTCTTTCCGATGGGGGAGGAGGGAAGAAGTGAGTCAGGGAGGAAAGGGGTGGGGGTGAAGGGAGGGGACGACTTTGAAGACACGCCCCCTCCCTTCGCCCCACCCCTTCCTCCGTGACTCACTCCTTCCCTCCTCCCTCCCTCTCTGGAAAGACATGCCCCCTCCCTTCACCCCCCCCCTTTCCTTCCAGGAGAATCACGGAGGGAAGGGGGGGGGCGGAGGGAGGGGGCGTGTCTTTCCGGAGGGGGAGGGGAAGGAGTAAGTCCCATGGAGGGAAAGGGGTGTGGCGAAGGAGTGCTAACTTTGAAATAACACGCCCATCCCCTTTCACCCCAGCCACCTTTCCTCCCGTGATTCACTCCTGACAGAAAGGGGTGGGTTAAGGGAGGGGGCGTGTCTTTCTCAGAGGGGGCATGGGAGGCAGAGGAGTGAAGTCACAGAGGGGGGTTAGGGTGAAGGGAGGGGGCGTGTCTTCAAAGTTGCCCCCCCTTCGCCCCCACCCCTTCCCTCCCTGACTCACTCCTTCCCCCTCCTCCCCCCCCTCCGGGAAGACACGCCCCCTCCTTCGCCCCACCCCTTCCTTCCGTGACTTACTCCTTTCTGGCGTGTCTTTCTGGAGGTGGTGGGAGGAGGGAAGGAGTATAGGGAGGGAAGGGGTGGGGTGAAGGGAGGGGGCGTGTCTTTCCAGTGGGGATGTCTTGGAGTGTGCAGAGCGGGGCTTGGAGGCAGCGTGGGAGGAGTAAGATGAAGGAGGGGGTGGAGGGAAGGGGGAGGGGGGAAGTTGTGTTGTTTGTGTGTGTGTGTGTGTGTGTGTGGGCGGTGACGTGTTCGTGCTGGGCGGGGCGAGGGAGGGAGGGAAGTGTGGAGGGTGCGTTGGCCGTTCGGCCATGTGTGTGCGCGCGCTGGGGACTTTGCCAGTGCGCATGCTCAGTTGTTTTGGCGTTTTGTGAGTGTGTTGTTGTGTTGTTTTTCATTTTGAGTTGATATGTTTGTACCTTGTGGGTTGTGTTATGGGCATGGCAATTTTGGTGCAGTTTCGTTGGGGGGTTGTGGAGTTTTGCTGTCCCGTTGAACCAACCTAACAGATTTATATACATAGATGAGAAGCAGTACTACA